TGCTTCAGTAAAACACCTAAAGAAATTTGGGATCCTATCATAAAATAAATTATCTGTTCAAATCAAATTGTTCGGATATGTATTTTGCATGTGAAAAAACTGTAAAAATTATGCTTGCGCCAGGAACCCAGAAAAGATCCACTCCTGATAGATAGATAAGACAGATAGATAAGACTTTATTAATCCCATAGGGAAATTGATGTGTTACAGCAGTCCAGCCCAAGACAAGCAAAAACAGACATCAGAATAGTTATAAAACAAAAGACAACAAAATAAATAAAAATAAATTTAAAAAAGTGTTTTGGCAAGATGTTTGGCACTTATTTGGCAAGATGTAAATCTGCACATAGTATGTAAATTGAATTCCTTTGATTGTAATTCTCATTAGGCTAGTTTCTCTTTTTCAGTGCTGAACAACACCATGTGTGTTAACAGGGAGAGTTACAGGTGGTTTAGATTAACCCAAACAGGCAGACCCACCACAAACCAAACCAAAGAGTTTTTCTTTGGGTGGAAATGGAATGTTTTAGATTGCAGTCAGAATAATCCTAAAGTATGAAGAAGGATGTTGGGTATTCTACTCTTCATCTGCCTGAAGGTTTAAGCAATTACACATAGTGCTTCTTGGGTCACTGTAACTAGAAAATGAAATAGGAATCTGCAATAATAAATTACAAAAATCTAAATATAAACTTTCACCCTTGGATGGCCTTGTCTACCTGGATTTAAATCTAACTGCTGTTTACTTACACTTCAGTTATTGGATAGAACTGATGTTTAAATATATCTGCTTTAACATCTCTTTTGACGAAGGCAATATTAAATAAATACATCTCTTTAACTCCATAGACTACCCTAGTGATGCTGAAAAAAGCATCTTTACTCTCTGACATAAATTCATTTGAATTAAATTATATCATAGTTATATAAATTCTGGACCTGAGGTTCTATCTGTGTGGAGTTTGTATGTTCTCTCTGTGTTGGTGTGGATTTCCTCCAGGTTCCCTAGTTTCCTCTCACAGTCGAAAAACATACCGGTGTAGGTTTATTGGCTTCTGAGGAAATTTAAGTCTAGATTAACAACAGGCTGTATTGACAGTCTATCATGGAACATATTATTATAAAGCTTTTCAAAACACGTAGTGTTGAAGAGTTACAAAGATAGGTTAATTCCATGTTAAGAAGGAGAAAAAGGTAATCCAACATTTCTTTTTTCAATGTGGAAGTAATCTTTATTTACAGTATTCCTTTGCAGCCAATGCACACTGATGCAGCTCTCCAGTTGAACCCCGTATTAAAGAGTTTGCTATTGTTCAGTGTGTAATGAAATCAAGTTCCAGTATCTGTGAAGAGTTTGTGCTTGGCCAAAGAAAAAAAAGGGAGAAATGAATTATTATGGCAACATGGGTAACATTAAAACAATATTAAAGAGCTTCCTGGGTTGCTATTTTGTTTACAACTCTGTGGGTTTTTACAAAGCATACTTTTGTGATTCATATACTTGTTTATTATTTAGTAATGGCTCGACCATGGGATTGAATCCAGTGCAATGAAATCCTTGTTTAATGTGGGATGTTTTTGCACCAAAGCGGAGAAAGTATTATACAAATCTTTTGATGAGAACTGATTTACTTAAAAGATAAGAAGGCTTTGATTACAACTACAGTATATACTAGAGACCTGTAATATCTACGTGTAAATGTTTAATGTCACAATGGCTGTGCAAAGACAGATTTTATTTTAGTATGCTACCGTACATTAAAGTATATACTACAATATTCTTTCCTGTTTGTTGTTTAGAATTTACAGCTTCATTGCAGATTGCATTGTGAAAGAAAGCAAGACATCATTACTTTTGATTCTTACGTGAATTAAAATAACCTGCAACTAAATTATTTGCAGAATTCTGCAGAGTTAAAAATGCAGGCTTTGGGCTGTCACCAAATTGTGACAGAACTAAAGAAAGAAAACTGAGGTATTCGCCAGCATCAACAGCTTAACAGCAGCATAGTACTGCATTTCATTCTATTCAATCACCAATGTGGTCTGTCTGAGAAAAGTAAAGAAACTCCAATCCAGAATATTGTCATCTAGCAATAGAAGCTACTACAAAAGAACTACAGTATATACTGTATAGTAGCTGAAATAATAATGGTTGACAATAGTTCCTTGTTCTAGGCTTCTGTGTGTAACAGCTTATGACAGTAAAGACATAGTAAATTATTAGATACAGTTTGAACTGTTGTAAAAATAAAGATTTTGAAAGTTCAAGACATTTGCAAATTGAGTAAGTTTCCTTAAAATATTGATCTTTTCGGAAACAAGTTATCCTCAGTGCATCATGCACAGGGCAGAACCATACCTTCTGGACAGAACACACATACATCCATTCACACATGCACACACACAATTTACAGGCACCAATTCACCTGCACAGTACTTATTAAACTGCAGCACGTGGAGAGGAAACCCACTTCAACAAGGTGCTTTTATGCAAGCTCCACACAGACAGTACCCCAGGTCAGAATTGATCCCAGAACCCAATAGCTGTGAGTCAGCAGTGCTAACAGCTGTTATAAAGTACCAAGGGCTTACAGCTCAGCAACAGTGCAGTATGTGAGAGGTCACCATCAGCACCAGTAGTGGGGGACCCCAGGACTGTTGTCCCCATTGTTTCAATTATCAGGTTTACAGATAATTTGGCCTTGATTAGACTTTTGCCAAATCAATTAATCAATTAAATGTCTAAATACAATTAGACACAGGAGATAAATCTTTTTTTTATTTTAATATTCACTGTAATCATACACTGTTTTTACACAAAACTAAGAAAATGACAATTCACAAAACTTTGTTTATTCCTATGAACCCTATAAACCGTAGATGGAACTGATAGTGAAACAGTAAATTAATATAAATACCTTGGCACTATTATTAACTTTATCATTATCATTATAATTTATTATTATCATTAAGTTTGAATGGCCAATACAGAGGCAGGTATTTGAAAGTGCATTAAAGGTAGTATTTTAAGAAGGTTAAGGAATTTAATGTAAAAATCACAATGTTTTATAAGAGCTGGGGAGGTACCTTGTCCTTGCAGAACACAAATAAGTTGAACAAATGGATCGGGACTGGTTGCAGTCACACTGGTTCACCCCTGGACTTAATAACATGTCTAACAGAGTAATATATTATTAATCTTGCACATAAAATCTTAGATTACCCCTTTCATCCACTGCTTTCAGAATATACTGTACTCTCTTATCCACTGGAAGGAGGGATCAGATGCCCTGTATAAAGACTAATAGAACATTTACTTCCTTTATACCTAAAAACATTCAGTTGTTGCACAGTAAAAAGATCATTTGCAGGTAGGGATCTTATTATTATTGTTGTTCTTGTGTGTTATTTTAGAGACTTTTCCAGCTAATAATCTGCTTTTTAATCTTACAATACCAGATTGATTTCTGATTGAGCAATTTTGCTGAATGTTTCTTTATATTATGGAATTGTACTGTTGTTGTATTGTATTGTATTATTTTCCCCTGTGTTATATGTTCATGTATGTTGATGTGCAAAACAAATTCTCGGTTAATTCAATTAAACTTTTCCATTGAATTGGACTTTGAATCAACATTGCTGCTTTTCCATTTTGCTTGAATCATTTTTATGTCTTCTAGTGTGTTTTGCCAAAACTGTCTTTTGAAAAGTCTAAGTAGTGAGAGACTTTTTTTTCTAAATATATTATTGAAGTACAGCACAAGGTAAAATGGGCATTATTTACATTATTTCAGTGAATCTCAACAGAGGAATAGAATCCATTATCTTCAGTGTGCCTAAACAGCAAAGGGTCTTTGCACCTTGAACACTGTTTTTATTATTTGAACAGAAGGTTTCTTTGACTTTGATGTCTATCATTACTCATCAACTTAAAAATGGAAGAGTGCTTTTTTCAGACTGAGGCTTTCAATTTCTTTTTGCTTAGTGTCCACAGCACAGTGGTTTAAAAGAAAGGATGGCTCACACAACAATTTTATCTCACTGATCAAAGAGTTACTGTCACTAACAAAAATCATCTGCCTTCTTCAGTATTCTGTCCACACGAACACTGCTGCTGTGTTTTGCCATTATGCTGAATTTCAGTGTTTCCCTTCAAAATGAAAACTGTGGTTTGAAAATTGCCTATCAGCAGTGCAACCAGAAGCTTGTTTCAGATCAGTTGAAATCCGAAAATGGAACTGAGCTAGCAATGATACTACAATGCTGTCTGTGAGCCATCCCAATAATTTCTACATCAACTTCATGTCACTCTCAAAACAGTAGTGTCAACTTAAGTCTTTGTGATCTTTTCAAAACAATTAAGTTAGATCTGTAACTAAAACATACATGCATAAATAAAACTGTGGCTGTAAATAACTCTGTTCTGAGAGATATTGTTTTCCTGGAAAGGATCAGTGATACTGTAGTAGTTTTATGATCTTTTCTGTAGGCTGGCGCCTCAGAAATGTTGCGGTATGGAATAGAATACTGGTCCATTTCAGGAAGGTCGTGGTTACACATCCCATAATCTTCACAAGAACTTTAAAGGTGGTTCAAAGCTGCCAAAGAACTGAGTCAAGCAGATGGAAAACTCAGGCGTCAGTTGATTCAAAACAAATTTATAAGGATTAAAAGGTAGTCAAATTACTGTAGAGAAGGCAAAATAAAGGAGATTGTGCTGTATAAGCCAGATTTAGTGAACTGCTACAATACTATTGCCACAACCTGCCTTTACTTTTCAGTGCTGTATATCCCTTAAGATACAAAACAGTGAATTTTAAAGAAACCAGTAAAATGTCAACCAAAACCTCATTTAACAGTTGACATTGCAACACTATTAGAGTGGCGACTGACACCTTTGTACTAATACAGAACTTTCTCAATTTCCAAGCAGTTTCAAGTATAGGCTTTCATTCTTCTTTGTTGACTGATGTGCTAGAGGGATGTTTGTTTTCCAGTGCTGCCTCACTAAAGCTGAAGCCAGGCGAGATGCAGCCCGAATTGCACTTATGAATTCCGTCTTTAACGAGCTGCCCTCACGCAGGATAACACAAGAGTTCATCTCTCGCAGTCTCCAGGAGGCAGCCACTACTACCTCTGTAAGTTCAAAGCGCCTAAAGAATGTCTCAGCAGGATAGCCTGCCAGTAAGTTAATTCATGAACCTGCATCTGTAGAGCACTCTTCTTCTTAATAATGGATGTCAACACTCTTTACTCCAATCAATCTGCAGCAACATCCATCTATCCATTTTCTAACTGCTTTATTTAATTCAGGGTTGTGGGGGAGTCAGAGCCTATTCCAGCAAGCAAAAAGCACAAGGCAAGATATACATTAGACAGGATGCCAATCCATCGTGAGGCATGCACAGACACAAATAGACACATCAGGGACAATTTTTTTCAGAGGTTAATTAATCTACCAGTATGTCTTTTGGACTGAGGCAGGAAACCAGAGTACACAGAGGAAACCCATGCAAACATGGGATGAATACAAACTCCATGCAGATAGCACCCCAAGTGTAAGGCTGTAATGCTAACCACTGTGCCACCTATGCAATATGATATTCACAGAGCATGCAGACTCTATGCAGACAGAATGAATTAATAAAAGACGGAAATGGAGAGCAGGGACAATTAATATCTGATTACTGTTGAGAATAGAAAGAATTCAGAAACATATATATTTTTGTCCTGCACCACAAGGACACAAAAAAATTAGTGTCCTTCGTTCTAAATATTAAATAACTATGGCACATTTAAAGCCTATCTTGAAACCTACCACCACCACAGGGTACCCATCAGGAATTCGCTTACCTGTGAGTAGGAGAGTCATATTTCTTATTAGTGCCAAAGAATACAAGCTGAATGTATCTCAGTGGAGGAAAAGAAGGCCACCCATAACTGAACATCAGCTTCAGATAGGAAATTGCACTTGATGCTGTGCCATTCAGAGGGAACATGCTCAAGTTATTATTAATTTACTTGGCCGACACCTTTATCCAAAGTGACATCTGTAAAATTTTATAGAGCTGGGCTTCTTACTGAAGCAATTTGATTGAAGAGCCAAGCTACAAGGATACAGCAGCAGTGCCATACCCAGGTTTAGAACCCACAGGCTTCTAGTTATAATGCCAGAGCCTCAGTCCTTAATTCACAGTGTTACAAGCTATCCCTAGCATAAACGGAACATAAGCTTGTGGCTTACACAATTATGCCTAAGGCTCTATTAATTCAATCAGTTAAGCAATTTCTCACTTTTCCACCTCATCTGCCACAGAGTGCAGTTCTGGGATCATAACAGCCAGCAGCTCACAACTGATAACCCACTGAAGCTAAGCAGCTGTGAGCCTGGTCTGTACCTGGATGGAGACCTCCTGGGAAAAACTAAGGTTGCTGCTGAAGATATGTTAGTGGGGCCAGTAGGGGACACTCACCCTATGGTCTGTGTGGGTCCTAATGCCCCAGTATAGTGACGGAGACACTATACTGTAAAAAGGTGCCATCCTTCAGATGAGATGTAAAACCGAGGTCCTGACTCACTGTGGTTGTTAAAAAAATACCAGAGCATTTCTTGAAGAGTAGGGGTGTAACCCCGGCGTCCTGGTCAAATTTCCCATTGGCCTTTACCAACCATGGCCACCTAATTATTCCCATCAACTGTAGGAATTGGCTTCATCACTCGGTTCCCCTCCCCACTGATACTGATAGCTGATGTGTGGTGAGCGTACTGGTGCACTATGGCTGCTGTCGCATCATTCAGGTGGATACTGAACATTGGTGGTGGTGGAGGGGAGTCCCCATTAAACAGCCATTTTCCTCAGGTTAGGGTCTTCTGTGCTCTCATTCAGGTTTTTTTTGTCTTGCCTCACCGTTCTTTTTCCTCTCTGAGAGGTTTTCGCTTTTCATTGTTTCACTCTATCATCTTATTTGTGGTCTTTCCCCCACCCAGTTCACAGACATCACTGTAGTCTGGATTACACACTCGAGAGCAATTCATCAGGTGGAAGTGTAAAAACGTTGCTTTAAATCTTAAATCTACGTATGATGTCCTTTTCTTGTTTTATTTTAGCATCTTTATTTGTTTCATTTCAAGGGCAGTTTAGGTGATGCCAGGGATCCCAGTACAAGCATAGGAGCCTACTGCTTCATGCTGGAGTCAAACAAGGGGAAAACCATGCTGGAGTTTCAGGTATTTCAGTAAGAGTTTATTTTTACTTGAATCGGGATACTATCCCTGAGAAAGCTAAACTGTACAAGCTGATATCCCTAAATACATGACAAAATCATACAAATGTTAACAACTAATATCTTACTTTAAAGCAAAGAAATAGTTAATTGTTAATATTGTACTGTATGTATTACTTATTTGCAAATTGTCAATTAGTGATTTAGCAAATTAAATATTCTGTACTGCAGCATATTTGATGGGTTCTCTTAATACTAGCTCCAATACTTCTGTAGATATTAATAAACAAATACTGATTTAACCTACGTTATGGAAAGACTTAGTTATAACATATTCAGAAAATTACTAGACTAAAGCAGTTTTCAATTTAGTCAAGGTAAAATGTGGAAAGCATTAACATCTTACTTGCTAATTAAACTTACAAGGAACAAATGGATTTCTTTTTCATACTAAGACGTGAATTTCATTTCTTCTTATTTAATCTATTCCTTACACTTTCAAACCTTATAAAAGATCTCTCAGATATAGGGAAAACATTCTTGAAAAGTAAGTAGGGTTTTCAGTATGAATACTTCACCATTTTAAAGGATTCTATCAAGTTTGAAGTCATTGAGAGAGAAAAAAAAATGTTTCATTTCCTTTTCAACTGAAACAGTATTTAGTGTCCATGGAAATAATCCAAAACATACAAACAGAATCCAGGAGTCAAGATTTTCTAATGTGTCATTCGCATGATAAATATTCTTACTGACAAGCAGATTAAGCATACTTGTTAACTTTTAATAAAGCCCCCAGACCGCTAAAACAAATATAATGAACAAAATATCAGACAAATCTTGAAGCTATTCTAAAATTATAGCCAGCACTATTTTTTTTACAGCTAGGTCAGGTATTGTAGAATTGTTGTTGAAAGACATTTCTCTTGACATCTTGACATCCTCAGAAATCTGCTGATCCTTCAGGATCCATAACATGACCAGTTTTTTAAAACATATGCCAGTTGTCAGCCTTTGTATAAACTTTAAACTAAACAGGAATAATCATTTTAAAATGAAATATATACATGAACTTGATCATGTTCATTATGTGTAAAGGATTCCTGTGGACAAAACAAAAAGAAATCTATGATAAAATTAAAAAAAAAAAAACATGAACCACAGTCTGACAGCAATAACCTTACTTGCTTGTGTGTTTGTGCATCATTCTTTGTGTATCTTTTATGTTATGAGGCTGCAGCAACTGACAGATGAACTAAATACTACAATTTAGACCAGCCGGAATTCTGCCTCTGTGTCTAAAAAAACAATAAAAAGAAAAACTTTTTACTTGTTGTTTAGTAAGATGTGAAGGACAGTATGTTGCTGTATTACAACATAAAAAATTAGGCTGATATATAACTTGCACTCTCACTACTTTATGACTAATCATATTGCCATGTGTTTCCCTTTCTTCCTCAAATTTAAGGAAATAATGACAGTTTTCCAGCTTCTGCACTGGAATGGGAGCCTTAAGGTATTCAGAGAAAGGAAATGTTCTCGCCAGGTAAAGAATATTTAGTCTGAAATTCACTCACAACATCTGAGAAGGATATTAATTAAAAAATAGAAGCTGTTTTATAATTTAATGACATTTCATTTAGTGATTTTTAGACAAATTTAATGTAGCTGTAACCACAACTTTAAAGCCTCATTAATTTTAAATATTATAATTTATGTTTTTATTAACTGCTGAGAGCTATTATAAAAGGAAACTTGATATTTGTTTAGCTAATTTGTTTATCCAGAATTCTCTGACACTACATCTAAAAATGTAATGTAATTTAAACAAAATTCACAAAACGATCTAAGCATTCAAAGTCATACTGTACCTTTGTCATGCATTCCTGTTCTGTAAGTCTGTAAGGACCAAGTCATGTCCTCAAGAAGGTAATCGAAACAGTTTTGTGATACCTACTATATTTCTGCCCCATTCCAAGAATATACAGTAATATAGTCAAATAATATGCATATATTGCAATATGAACATATGCCTTATTTTTATGTGTATATTTACACCTTTGTATCACAGCAAGAAGATAGAATGAATGTATTAAGTTATTACTTATTAATAGTAGACTACAAATCAAACAAGTTGTATTGGATGTGCAATAGTAACGCAGCAGATCATGTAATAATCTGGTTCTGTACTTATATAATTATCAGCAGGAATACAGTCAGATAAAAATGCTGATTGACTTTTCATTTAAACTACAGGAAGGGCTTGGTATGCAGTTATATACAGTATATTACACATGGAACCATTTAACTGAATTTGACGTTTTAAGCATTTTTGCTGTTAAATTCGATACCAGTATGTCTCAAGTATATCACTTTACATTTCCACTTAATTCTATACAGTGATTATATTTGATTTTGCATTCCGGCGTAATGTACTTAATTTTCAAGAAAATCAAACAGAAAATTATTTCCTAAGAGCATTAGTTCGACTGTGCCAGAATCTTTGACAGTTTTATCTGAATAAGAGGTGTTTAATGGCGTGATAAATTTTGCCTGTTTTTGATTACTGTCAGAGGTGGGGAATACATTAAGCATTTGCTTTTTTCATTAAGAGCAAGTGGCCATTCACTTTACTGACAGTGGCAATCATAATCCGACTTGCTTGTTTTGGAATGAATGAATAACACTAGACCTGTTTTTTGGATGAGTGAAAAATAATTAATATTTTGAGATTGACAGTAGGACCGGAAGCTAAAATGAATGGTCAGCAGTAGACATACTTTTACATTACAGTATTAGAATAACAGCAATGATTACTGAATTGGAAATAATGGCATTGTATTCATTTGATCATGACATTTCAGTTCATTTTATAGAGCTATTCTCATTAATTTAAAATATAAAAACTATTATACCATACAGTACAACATTTAGTACCATACATAGTGTATACAAGATATACAATACGGTGGAGCAGTGGCACTGTGGCTAAGGATCTTTGCCTGTGGCTAGAAGGTTGCTGGTTCAAATCCCATAGCTGGCAGAGGAATCCTACTTTGTTGGTGTCACACCCTCTGCAGCCAGAGGGTGCTCCTCCTCTGTCCTGTCCCTAGTTTCTTGTGCTTTGCTGTCCTTCAGGTGTCTCTCTCTCTCTCTCTCTCTCTCTCTCTGGGGCTACATATTTCCAGGTCTCTCATTCACCTTCGCTCAGCATTGACGTTCGGATGTCCTGAGACCCGTCTAGCACCAGGTCACCGCTCCGTCCGTGGCCTGAGGGCATAGGTTTCTATACGGCATTTCCTGAACTCTTTGCACTGCTGAGACTGGGCTTACTCCCTGTTCCGCTGCTTTGCATGGGGTCTTTTTCCGCTCTCCAGCCATTCCACGGTTCATCCCTTCCGACATCCGTGACAGTTGGTCTCCTGAGCAAGGTCCTTAACTCCAGCTGCTCCAGGGGTTCCATTTAAGTGGCTGACCCTGTGCTCTGACCCCAAGCTTCTCTCTCCCCATCTGTGTGTCTCTTGGAGAGCAAGCTGGGGTATTAGACAAGACAAATTCCTAATGCGAGAAATTGTATATGGCTAATAAAGTGATTTTATCTTATCTTATAACACTGAAAAAATTGAGATACGTGTTAGCACAGCAGGGATGGATGGGTAACAAATGCTACCCAATATTTTGCGGTATGGATTTTTTTCAAGGTTGGCATGGTGGCTCAGTGGTTGGCATTTCTGCCCTGCAGCACTGGGACCCTCAGTTCAATTCCTGGGGTGCTCTCTGCATGAGGTTAGTAGGCTTTCCCTGTGTTTATGTGGGTTTCCTCAAGGTTCTCCGGTTTCTTCTTACACACCAAAGACATGCTGGTAGGTTAATTGGCTTCTGTTTGAGTGTGTGTGTATGTATCTGTATGTCTGCCCTGCAATGGACCGGTGTCCTTTCCAGGGTGTCTTGTGCTCTTTGTAGGCCCTGGGTCCCCACAACCCTGAATTAGATTAAAACAGTTGGATGTTTTTCAGTGTCTCTGCATATTTCTGTTACAGTCCCCATCTCACACACATCTTTTCTCCTTTACAGGAAGTTATTTCCTACTACTCCCAGCATCGTTTGGATGAGTACACCAGGAGCCACATGGCACTAGACTGGATCTCCAAAGAGCAGGAGACGCCAGGGCTCATCTCTCACGAGCTACAGCTGGCCCTGAAGGAGCTTGGGCAAGCTTGCAAGGCTGGCAGAGAGCTACGCTTCTACAAGGAGAAGAAAGAGATATTGAGTCTTGCCTCAAGCCAGATGTATGGTGAAGAAACCGCAACCACCTGCAATGGAGAGCAAAGTGTGTGTGATGCTCAGGGGACAGAGCCCAACTCCAATAAGCAACCCTAAAGCCTGGAGAAAACAAATCCGATCACTATGTCATTGCAGCACTATGTCTAGACTTCTTACAGCACTTTCAGCTGGCTGAGACGTCTCCTGTGGAGATTAAAAATAATGTGCTATTGTGCTTTATGAACAGGCAGAGATCATTTGTCTGCAGGCTTCACAAACTTTTTCAAGAACTTGGATATAATTCGCAAGCCCATTAGTTGAAAAATATTGGGGGAGGGGTTGGCACTTTCGAACTGTAAATAGGAGAAACAAAGGAGCAACAATCCCCTAGTACTAACTGAGATATACTACATTCTAGTGAGCAATACCTTCATTAGCCTACTCCTTGTCCCAGAATACAAACCTTTAGTACTGTTTTAGAGCCTATATACTGTAGAGTTTTAATGAAGGTTTGAAAAGGATGACAGCTTACCAAGTGGACCTTCACCTCTGCAGCTGCCCCCTGGTTAATTCTTCGCTCTACATGCAGGTGTTAACATCCTCATCCTACAAGCAATTTGTAAACCCTTAGACAAGTAGGGTTAAGCCAGAGCTAAAATGCCAGAATAAACATTGCATTTTCTTATTGGGTGTCCCCTTGGAACATCATTAGCCTGACTTCAGACATCCTATTAGTATGATAAATATAGAAAGTGTTCTGATTAAGTCCTATGATCTTGAGATAATTCTTCACAAAATATTGTACATAAGAAAATATGAAAGGTTAAAATGAAATAATAGCCTTCAGCTCTTCAGCCTGTTGTTGGTTGCTGCTAGCTAATTGATCTTGGAATCAACTCTCTGTGTAAAAAGTGCCTAGAATTCCTTTATAATACTTTACACTATAGTGTAGTTTCAGCTTGTATCTCCTGGTTCATGTTTCACTGTCGAGTCTAAAGAAGTCCATTGGGTTCACTTTGTCAGTGCTTTTAAGAATTTTGAATACTTGAATCAAGTCCCTTGGAGTCTTCTCTTTCCAAAGACTTAAAAGGTTTAGATACTTTAGCCTCTCAGAGTAGGACATTCCTTTTAGCCTTGAAATTTATCTGGCTATGCTTCTCTGAACTGTTTACAGAAAAAAAAATACTTTTACATGACCAAAATTGTATTGAATAGTCTAACTGAGGTTTTTTTTGTTTGTTGTGCTATTTTAACAATTCCTTGATTTAAATGTTGCACTTTTAACTAAATATTCTAACATTCTAACTTTTACTATTTTACCACATTGTCTCAATTTGATGAAAATAATGTTAACGTAATCACTCCATGATGTCTGATTTTGTTGAATTACAAATGAGATAACACATTTTCAGAATTTCAGAATGTGAATGCTGAAACTAAACGCCTGTGGGTGTAGGAGGCTATCCACTTCTCCCCATCAGTTCTAGCTATGGGCTGAATCAAAGTGTAGGTTGGAGCCAAGATGGTGGCTTTCTATGGGAAACTCCCTAGGAACATTAAGAATATCAACATTTGCAGTCAGAAACATGGACACACTAATTAGTGGTCGCACTATTCAAAGGTACAAAAGGCAACATAACATAAAAATTAAGTAGAAATTAGTGATGCAAAGTTAAAATTCACATAATTTTACTAGATTTTAACAATGACGTGAGATAAAAGTTGCATGATGTTGTAAGAGACAACCACTCTCCTGCATCAGCATTGTAGTGAAAAATATGGCTTAAGTTCATATTAAACTGGCATGGAATCGTGTATTTAATTAATATTAAACGGCGCAATATTACTATTAAATTAACATTAAACAAATGACGTGGTTTACAGAATACAACAGAAATAATAACCAAACTTAAAGAAAAATATCATTTTCTTATCATACATTCTACACATTCGTGTCAGAAGAAGAAATTAATTTGAATAAACCTTCTCACATTATTGTTTATCATTGAAAACAGCATTAAATTAATACATTAATTGAAGCCAGTGTGAGATTATTATTTAAATGCATATTAATTATATGTTAATGTATTAAAATAAAGCATTACCAAGAATGTTCCCATGATTCAGTACATGTTCTCAATCTTCAAATAGGTTGCTGAGCGGAGAATCATCGCTTTCACTGTTCCAGAGATGATGAACCTGGGAATGTGATTAACATATCGACACAACCACAATAAACTGTGTATGATATTTCAGGAATCCAGTATATATGGCATCATAGACTGCATCAGTAAGTGGTTATCTGCACCCCCATCTGTGTTTTTTTATTTCTCACATTAAATGACTTTTAATTTGATTGCAGTTAAAAAAGTGTAAATGAATACAACAGACATTGTATCACAGATATAAGATACAACAGAGATTGAAAGTTCAAATATTACAGAATAACAAATGCACTCAAGGAAGTGGCAAATGGAAAGCAGGATAGACTAAAAGTAACATGAAACAGGACTCTTGAGGAGGAACATTACAAGAAACATCCATCTATTTTCAAAAAGCTGTTGTTTCCTGGCAATGGTCATGCCAACTCTAAGTCGGTATTAGACCCAAAGCAGAACCAGAAAGTTGTTATGTTATCCCTGTGGTAAATAGCTCATACAATATAATGTTTTTCCATTGTTTTCTTATTTTGAAGTTTGGAACATGAGGATAATCCTGAATTGCTTGATGGGTAGGAGATGGTTGCTGTGGATTATCTGTCTGTACCAGGCGTCTGTGTGAAAAGCAACGGGCCATTCGCCTGTATCGCATTCAACAGTGGCTTAAGCAAACTCTTCCTGGCAACCACAGCAACCTCATCTCAAGCGTCACAATTTTCACAGGCTTTAATGTTGGATCAGCCAGATCCAGCACAAACGGCCTTTTAAAAAAGCATGTGAAATAAACTGAAAACAACTCAGAATCAATTTAATGTATGTAAAAAGCAAAGTAAGGCTTTCTCTGTGAATCCTACTAAGGTTTAAATAGCATACAAGGCCAACCTTTCAAAGAGAACTCAAGCATGAAGTTATCTGAAGATGTCTCTCACAGGGTGTTCCAATTCCCTGCCAGAACGTTACAGAGTATGCTGAAGTGAAGTCTACATAGTGAATATTTGTGAGCCTTAACTTAAGCACACTGTGGCCAAAAGCCACATATGCTCTTTTCATAATTACATTATTTTTAACTTCCCTTTGAAGCCAAAAGTAGAAATATATATTTTCATTGGAACATGCTTCTTTCTTCATTTATATAATTAACTTGTTTTAAACCCAGACAAATTTTACAATGATTATCTGAAACCAAAGCATAGTTTGGCACCACTGTATATATAGCATGAATAAATAGCACCACATATGCTTTTTTTTGTCTTTCTCGAGTATTATGGAGCCAGTGAATGGTATTTTAATTATCATGTTTATTTTTTCATAGTTTGTGACTCCTTTCTCCTTCACTTAAATCATGTTTTGCTGACATATACAACTCACTCCTGCACACCAAAACCTTCAAAAAGTATTTAATGCATCAGTTGCTGGAAAGGGTCACATTTGATAGAATAACCTTTTAACCTTAACCTTATCTACAATCAATTATTAAATGGTTTTAAACAAGAGAAAGCAGGTCTATTTATGTTAGTTAAACATAACTGTGTGCACCTTAGCAATGGAGAGCCCATTGTAGAGGTCCATCTTTTTCTCTAAGAAACAAAAATTGAGACAACAATAGCTTACCCTCTGTTTCCAGGAAGCCTTCCATAGAGTGCACAAAGTGTTACTGTATAGCACTTGCACTAGGAACTGAAGATTTCAGCATGCTTGAGTAAATAGTGGTTTGAGGACAGACCTAAATGCCTAGATGGGACTAAAGAAGAGTTCTAGAGCAAAGAAAGTTGGCATGCAAAGGAACCTACAAGAAAATAATCACAAATTGTTCCAGGCTGCCTTTCTCAGAAGGAGGCCACACAAGAAGATTTCTTGAGAAACAGCCAACATTGGAGACATCCTGATTCTCTCACTAATTCTAATGATCAACTTTTCCATTGGGTCTGTTAATCCAATAATGCTTCAACATGCAATCTTAAAAAAAGTCTCAAAACTTTTGCTTGACTTGTTTTCTTTCAAGAACCATAAATTATGGGAAACATTTGAAACAAGAAGACTGTTTAGCTTTAATGTAGTTTGTCTAAAACATCCACGACTCTTTACGTATTGAGCTGCCTCCTGTTTTCAGTTTTAAATACACTTTCCTTTAATTCCAATTTTCTACCATATTTCTCTACAGCCCTTTTTTGAATGGAGACTGACATAAAGGCACACTTCATGCCAGAATTTAACATAATGTGCCCCATATTTGAGGCATGAGTCTTACTGTAGTTTGTAAAGGGTTTATTGTCATAATGTTACAGTATGATTATTAGCTTGGCCCACGATGTTGAGCACTGTTTCCTGTATTATTTATTTTGAGAAACAGACTATACTTTCATTACTTTTCCAAGCAACCAAGGCTACTCAGGAAACACTGTGTTTTAGTTGATATGACGGGTGACTCTCTTATTATAAATACAGTACAGTACTCCCTTGGTTTAATGGACTTCAGATTGAATGGACAAAATCTGCTAAAATGGAATTATGGCTGTAAAATCAGAAATATCAGATTTTCCCTGCAGTAATGACAAAAAGCACAAAAAATAAAACAAAGTTAAATCTTACACAAGTATTAAATTCAGGAATATCAAAGGTGCCCTATAGTTGTTGGCCAATTGCTTATGATAGGCATGTGTTTTGTATGCTTTAGTGAATTGTATGCAGTACATTAACATCACATGAAATAAAGAGCTTGTATGCTTATGATAAAAGGCACAGGAACAATGTTCATTGACTGTATTGATTGCAGTTGTTAGTCAAAATATATAATATGATATGATATATGTGTATTTTATCATATAATAGTGTAGCAAAGGAACAAGTAATAGGTTTATTCCATGCTGAAAAAAAAAAGAAAGAAAACACGTTTTGGTCGTGGAGCCTTCTTCAGGTGTGTGAGAGACAAGGCAGTAAGCAAAGGTAAAGTAGCAGCAGAACAAAGGTTGGTGTAACGGACACGGACTGAAATCCGTATCAGGTCTTGTAGAAGACCCTATGCGATGCGGTAAGAGCTGGAGAAAACGGGAGGTTTGGTAAAAAGGAGCACACAGGGGTTTAATAGTGCACAAAATAATAGTGATAGTCCGTGAGACAGTGTACGGGGAAGACAAAACAGCATCCAAATCCAAACGGGTCCAAGGGCAGGTCAAAGCACAGTCCGAAAGTCCATAAACTGGAAATCCATCCTGGAACGCGACAAAGTTAAAATCCCCGGGAGGGGGGAGCACACAGACAAACGAAACATGGAGGTCCAAGGGTGACGGGGCGAGATCCTCCAGACCCCGGGCTCAGGAAGCGGGAGGTGTCGGGGATGAGGCCTATGCCCTCAGGAGACGGATGTAGGGTTTCCTGGTGCTAGGCGAGCCTCGCGACAGCTTTCCCTAATGATTAGCCCCGAGGACTGGAGGAGCTGGTCTTTAAATAATAACACTAAAAGGGTACACCGGGAGAGCTAAATCACACGAACAATAATGAGAGTAGTGGAGCGCCCTTTAGGGAGGGATGTCGAGCGTGACAGTTGGGAGGGAGGAGGAGTGAGAGGCGGGAGCAGGGGACAGAAAGAGAGGCCAATCAAGAGGTGTGAAGTCAGAATAGGTGTAGAGAGGTGTGAAATGAAACCTTCAATGAATGGAGAAAATGTAGTCTGTCGTTGAGAGAAGGGGGAAGGTGTGATCCTAGCTGCAGGATAATTTTGGTTTCTGCAGTCTTTCTGATGTATGAGTTCAGAAAAAC